CATTAACACCACACACACACAATCAACACTGTCATTAACACCACACAGTGGTGTCACAATCAACAGTGACACAATCAACACTGTCATTAACACACACAAATAAACCTGCTGTGCATGTGCGCGTATGTGTGTGTGTATATGTGTGTGTGTATGTGTGTGTATATATGTGTGTGTGTGTGTGTGTGTGTGTATATATATATATGTGTGTGTGTATAAGAATTTTAATCAGCACAATATTATATTTTATTTATTTATTAGCACAAAAGAGCTTTACAGTTTCAGGCGCATTAACACTGAATGTTCAGTTTGTGTTCAGTCATAAGACACAGCTGGAGGAAGCACACACACACACACACACGCACATATATACACACACACAAACACACACACACACACACACGAGTGATGAACAGTGTGGTGATGTGACTGTAAAGCTACAGTAAATTACCATCATTCCATGTGTTAGTGTCTTACTGTGTGTGTTATTGTGTTAGGTAGTGTGTGTCAGTGTGTGTTTTAGTGTCAGTGGGTTAGTGTGTGTTATTGTGTGTATTAGTGTGTGTTATTGTGTTAGTGTCAGTGGGTTAGTGTGTGTTATTGTGTTAGTGTGTGTGTGTCAGTGGGTCAGTGTGTGTTAGTGTGGGTCTGCAGTGATGTTAGTGTGTTATTGTGTTAGTGTGTGTGTGTCAGTGGGTTAGTGTGTGTGTGTCAGTGTGTGTGTGTCAGTGTGTGTGTGTGTAAGTGGGTTAGTGTGTGTGTGTGTTAAGCGGGTCCGCAGTGATGATCAGTTATTCCACAGTAAAAGTCAGCTTTCGGCTTCACTTTAATAAACACATTATAAAATAAACCCGCTAGCAGATTAGCATGACATTAGCTACACAGCTAACCGGCTAACGGTTTCCGCCGCCAGCAGCAGCTCGCGCTCAGTGCTAACGTAAACACACAGCAGAGAGACAGTAGCAGGGGATTATTCATGACTACTGTGGGGAAATAACACATTCATTCATCTGCGGTTCAACATACAGAACGGACCAAAGTGACAGATACATAAAGTAAACAAATAAAGTAAATAAATAAGCTAGCGTTAGCACAGAGCGCTAGTGGCACAAAGCCATTGTCATTCAGCGGGCTATGCTAGCTATGCTAACAGTGCTAACAGGGTGTGGATCGGTGACATCATCATACTTACATTATCGATGACCACCGGCTGGTTTGCTATAATATCATACGACTCCATATCGGCTCTGCAGCGCGCGCGCGTGTGTGTGTTTCTGAGTTTTATTTTATTTTATAAAAACTGTTTTAATGTAAAATCAGCGCGCGCCTCAGCACACACCCGCCGAGCTGTGCTGCGTGTCAACCGAACTGCGCGCGAGACACCCAACCCTCAGCCCAGCCCGCTGTGTGACTGACAGCTGCATCAGCCAATCAGATCGCTGTACGGGAAACGCTGCCTGACAGTAGGCGGGGTGTGTGACGCGTCAGTCTGAGGCAGCGAAATTTCACACACTGCATATAAAATATTCACACTTTTAAACAATTTACACAAAATATTAGTGTAAAGACACTCATAGAGGAGAAACAGATGCACTTATTTCACTTTCCCTGTGGAGATTTTTAATTCTGTGTGTTATTTATCTCATAGCCCACATCTCTGACAGCTTGCAGTGACACTGTTTATTTATTTTATACAGTTCTGTGCAAAAGTCTATTCACATGTAAAGAAATGCTGTAGAGCAAAGCTGCCTTCAAAAATAATGAAACTAAATGTTTCTACATTTAAAAAAATACTATAAAGAGCAGTAAACAGTAATAAATGAAACAAAGTCAATATTTGGTGTGACGATCCTTCACTTTTAAAAAATAAAACAGTATCTCAGGTGCAGTGTGTGCAGTTTTATAAGGAAATGAGCTGTAAGTGTTACTGAGCATCTTGCAGAAGCAGCCACAGTTCTTCTGGAGACTTTGACTGTCGACTCGCTTCTTATTTCTGCAGCGAAACCCAGCAGCCTTCATTATGTTTT